TTATGGGGCTGGAGAGATGGCTCAGCTGTTAAAGGCTAGGCTCACAACCAAAAATACCTCTAATTTTGATCTTCAAAGTGTCATTATTCTTTTTTTTTTTCTTTCTTCTCTACCTACCTTCCTTCTCAATCTCTCCCTTCTAATTTTTTAATTTTTGCTAGAGTTGGGGTCAAAATGAGAATTATTATTTCTTTCTACTTCAAGTCTTTCTCACAAGAACCTTTGTTTGTCGGTTTAGTCACCCCTTCAGCTTCCTTCCCATTCTAACTGTCAGGACTAGAAAGCTAGGCATTGTTTTTACCTAAATGTATTCAATCCCTTGGTTTGTCTCATGTCCCTCAAGTTTACCTTTACTACATTCTAATAACTATTTAAAAACTACAACTCCCTATAATCTTCTGTCCCAGAAACATCCTTATTATAAGACAAAACCAAAAGCCTTAATATTCACAAATTCAAGGGTTTCTGCATGTTCACTTTGACTGCCTACCCACCTTTCTTTTAAAATGTTCTGACATGAGCTTTTTAGACCACTGAAATTCCCATCCTAAGCACATGTGTTCATCTTTCCTCATGCTTTCCCTTTATACGGACTCTTACTCCTCGATGAATCCTGCTGCCTCTCACAGCTAAGCCTGAGTTTTCAATTGTTCTCTAGGATGCTAACTAAAATCGCAACTACTCTTTTCTGCTCATCAAATACTTTCAGGGCAGGGGATTAAGTGACTACAATTTGCCTGGGGAAATCTAAAAACAATACAAACAGCAAATCTGTCTGTTGTGGTGAGCAAATACAGACAGCAAACAGCTTATTGGTAATTAGATTTAGGAGCATGTGTGTCTAGTCAAGGTTACCAGCTTGTTGCCACTAAAAATGACTGTTGTTAATTGTTAGTGTTCAATGGAGCAGAATAGAATGGTAGTGCTGTTAAATAGGTGTGAATCTTTTTAAGTGTGAATCTTAAAGAGATTATCAAAAAGAATTAACTAAAGCTTTGACTATAATAATATTAATCTGTAATCTCACCAAAAATCCTACCAATAACAGCATCAATGACATAACTATAAATCATATCAACTATGGCATAGCCATTCAATGCTAACAGCCATTAAAAAAACAGTGCAGCAAAAGATGATAAATAATAAATACAGGGAGTAAGAAAAACAATTTGTAAAATATATTTACAACTCAGGTTATTTACAGAAAGGACATTAAGAGTATTAATTCAACTTCTGAGGGCCAACAGTGATGGCTCAGTGGTAAAGACACTTGCTGCCAAACCAGACAACAAAGCTTGATCCCCAAGACCTACATAGTAGAAGGAGAAAAAAAGATAGATTTCCTCTGATATCCACACAGTGATGTGCATGTGTGCACCCAAACACACACCACATAAAATACATATATGTACTTTTTCAAATTTAAAAACAGGTGGCTGTAGAGATGGCTCTGCAGTTAAGAGCACTTGTTGCTCTTGCAGAGGATTGACTCTAGCACCCACAAGGCAGTTTACACACATCTCTAACTCCAGTCCCATAGCTGGAACCTGCTGTGTAACCTAGGCTGTTCTTAGAACTTGTCCTCTCTACCTCAGCATCCACGTACTAAGATTACAGGCATGCACCATCATGTCTGGCTTGGAACAACATATTCAGATGCCCAAAAGGAGCACATACACTGTGAATTTAAAACATTAAAATTTTACATAAAGGAACTCAAGACAGATTGGCAATGTGTCCTTCCTTCTACACACACCTATTTTGAATCACTCTTTTTCAGTATCTTTAGGACAACTGTTCCTTGCAACAGAATCAGTCTTAATTCATAATTTTCTAAACCCTTTAATACTGTACAGTTTACACATTAAGTAAACCTTATAAAAATCAAAATTTATTTCCATAGAAATTTGTATGGAAATGAATTTTAAAAATCTTCCACTTTTAGCTGGATGTGGTAGCACATGACTTTAATGTCAGCACTCGAGAGGTAGAGGCAGGCAGTTTAAGGCCAGCCTGGTCTACAAATCTAGTTCCAGGACAGCTAGGGCTGTTACACAGAGAAACCCTGTCTCGAAAAACAAAACTTCCATTTTGTTATATCTCAAGTGAAGAACCCTCTTTAAAGCTCTTTTTCCAAGCACTCCATAATGACTCAGACTATTACTTACTGAGTCATTAGTACTGGCTTAACCTGATAATCAGTATCTCAGGCCAATGCTGAGGAATTACAGCATTAGGAAACTGAAATACAAACACACCATTCCTAGCACAGGACCCCACTGCCATTGACAGTCACTGATCACTATGGCAGACAGAAGAAGCAGGATATTAATTGATAAGACTCCAGTCTTACAACCAGACAAAAACACCTTGGTTACAAAACTTCTTAACTTGTACCACAGCCCTCTACAATTGTACCTTTTTATATCCATGCTCATTTCAACCTTCCTATTGGATAGAGCATAGTTTTAAATCAGTAGAAACAGTCAACAGTACAGAAACACCAACACACACTTTGACAACCAACACTTATAGGTGTAAGATCTTCCTAAAACTGCTGTTTCACAATAGGTCTTCAGGGATTTAAAGTTGCTGAAGCCTGGTGTGGTGGCGCACACCTTTACTCCCAGCACTTTGGACGTAGAGGCAGGTGAATTTCTGAGTTTGAAACCAGCCTGGTCTACATGGCGAGTGGCAAGACAGCCAGGGCCACACAGCAAAACCCTGTTTCTAAAAGCCAAAAGAAAAAAAGACTACCCTCTTCCTCAGAATTGTTTTTAAAAGGTCATTTTATGATTTTTTTTTTTTTTTTTGGGTTTTTTTTTTTTTTTTTTTTTTTTTGAGACAGGGTTTCTCTGTGTAGCTTTGCACCTTTCCTGGAGCTCACTTGGTAGCCCAGGCTGGCCTCGAACTCACAGAGATCCGCCTGGCTCTGCCTCCCGAGTGCTGGGATTAAAGGCGTGCGCCACCACCGCCCGGCCTCATTTTATGATTTTAATATGTAACCAACCCTTTATATCCTGGATTGGTTCCAGGACCTCTAACAAAATCTCCAGATGTTCAAATATCCTATATAAAATATCATAGTGTTTATATATAACCCACTTGTATCCTGCTGTATACTTTAGCTCTAAATATTTATAATATCTAATACAATGTGAATGTTATATAACTATGAACCTGTATTGTTTAAGGAATAAAACTAAAAAAAATCTTCACATGTAAAATACAGGTACATGTTTCCTTGTTTTGAATATATCTGATCTTCAGTTGGTTGGATCCAAGGAGGCAGAATCTACAACTATGGTGGACTGGTTCCACACTATTTTTTTTGTTTGTTTCATTTTTGTTTTATTTTTTCAAGACAAGGTCTTTCTATGTAGTTCTGGATGTCCTGGAGCTTGCTAGGTAGACCAGTTTGAACTCACAGAGAGCTACCACATCCGGCCTGGCTGCAGGCCAATGTTAATCTATAAAGAACACTAAATTTACTGGTATCTATTTTTTATGAGTAGAATTCAATTTGTAGTGATCTTAACAAGCTTGCCCAAACTCTATTCAAAACTTTACCAAGTTGAGTCCTAGGGACCATACCCAACAAAAGGACAAAAAAGAGGAAAAAGCAGACTTGAGGAGGCTCCCCAAGTGCTCTGACTTCTCAGAAGTTATGGCTCACCAATGAGTGATACAATTCTTAAAATGATTACAGGTTTTTATGATATCCACTTCCCAGTACTCTATCTGAGGGGACTGTTAAAGCATTTCACAATTGATTGTGACGTCACTCAACAAAATGTATAGAATTATTTAAATCAATCAATCAATTTATTTATTTTTTGCTGTGCTTGGTGGCATACAACTTTAATTCCAGCACTTGGGAGGCAGAGACAAGCTGGTCTGTGAGTTCCAGTGAGCTAGGGCTATATAGTAAACCCTGCCCAAATAAATAAACAGATAGATAGAGAACATTTTTACATGTAGTTATTTTGAGAGAAGAGACATGTACACATGATAGAAATGTGGAGTTCAAAGGACAACTTGCCAAAGTCAGATTTCCTATCATATGAGTTTCAGGAATCAAACTCAGGCCCATAGGGCTTGGAGAAAGTGTCTTTACCTAATGAACCATCTTACCAATCTAACATATATTTGTTTTACAATCAATGCCAAAATAAAACCCAGATTTTTTAGAAACAGAGAGAGACAGAGACAGAGACAGAGAGACAGGGACAGAGAGGTGGTAGCCCTAACCTAGAACTCACTATGCAAATTCAATCTGCCTGGCCTAAAACTTGTATCAACCCTCCTGCCTCTGCCCTCAAAGAACTGGGATTACAGGCATGCTCCAGACCATGATCAATTCATCTATTTCATTTATTATGGCTCCTCAGAATTACTTTTCGATCACCAAATTTATCACTATCCCTTTAAAAACACAACAAAACAAATATTACAATAAGAACTAATATGTTGTTGCATGTAATATAGGATATACATGAATATTTAAGGTAAATATAACACAAAGAAGTTTTATACTGATCCTGATAGACTCTGAACCAAGAGGCTTACTCTCTTAAGAGGGAAGAAGGGTGATGAACAAGAGAACATTCTCCACAGTGGAGGTGGAGCAGATTAGAGCTACACACAGCTAGATGTGCTGCCTGTTCTTGACCCTCTGTGACCATGGACCAGTCATGTAACCTTAGGCTTAGAGCTTCATTCTGTTCACCTGTGAGGTATGGTAAGTATTACTTACCTTATACTTTGTATTGTAAGATTTGTTAAGCAAACTGCCTAGATTTTAGGACTATAATGAATGCAGCCTACTAACAGTCAGGACAAACCTGTAAAACTGTCTGGCTGTCAAAACCATTCATTCAGCTTCAATTTGTGAGATCAAGATAAGTAAGCAGTAGCTATTTATAGGTCCTCCCAACTAGCTGCACAAAGAAAAGAGGCCAACAGGGTAAAATGACCTAGGTGAACACTAGTATACTCACATATTTCATTTCAAACTTCTTAGCCAACATTTCCACTTCTTGCCTCTCCTTATGCTCATCATTAAATGGGTCTTCTGTATGAACAAGCTTCTTCTGATTCAAAGGAGATAGGGAAAGAAACAGAAGTATTAGAACTACTTCAACTGGACTGCCATATACTAATCATAATCATATATCAACTATAGTTCAGTATAACTGACTAGCATATCAAATAGGCATTCAATATTATATATTCTAGAACTACATCCATAATATTATTTTCCCGACTTGACTCTCCCTTTAAATTTCAATTAGCCAATTTTTCCTAACAAATAGGTCAAAAGCATTAAAAGCTATTTTGAAAAAAAAAAAATGATGGTTCACAGAAGGAAAGTATCTGCAGTTAATAGACTTACACACACTGTACAGTTTTTTGATGGTCAAGAATTCAACATCAAAATTGACTCCACTTGCAAAAGGACCATATGGCCATCCCATCCCAAATAAAGCAATCTCTCTCCTTAGACCAACATAGGTAAAAATGAAAATATGGATTTTATTTTGATATTATCCCTAAAAAGGGCTGATTCAGCTATGAAAGAACCCTAAAAAGGTATCCAAATTATTCATTATAGAATCAAGATTCGTCATATGCTTAAAAGTTATTATTTGAGTATCTGCAGCTGCCCTGGCTTTCTGCTGAAAACTTAGAATCAGTAATTTCTATTATCACCTGTCTCCTGTCAATGGATATCCATTCAAGGAATACATAAAGCTAAAAAAAAATATGCAATAGCTCACCATGGCTTCCTTCTAACAGTGTAGAATGAAACATTGTTCTAATATAGTTTAAAACACAGACACACTCACACACTATGAACAAAGATCCTACATTCATCACCCACTTGCCAAAACAGACAAAATTGTATCCTTTCCTGACTTTACCATGTTTTCAAAAATTTTTTTAATGTATTATTATTATGTGCCGCATGATGGGGGCGGGTGGGCAAGTGCATACATGTGGAGGTCACAGGGCAACTGTGTGAAGTTGGTTCTCTCCTTGCACCTTTCTGTGGATTCTGGGGATAGAACTCAAGTTGCCAGGCTTGCACTGACCTGAGTTTACTATTTCAGCAGATATGTCTTACATGTAATGATTTTCAATAAACAAAAAGGCTAAGAGCTACCTTTAAAAAAATACTTTTTTAAATCCAATTTTAGAAAATTTACTTTGAAAGTAAATTTGGTTTGTTGTTTGTTTTGTTTTTTGGAGACAAAGTTTTACTATGTAGCATTTGACCTGGAACTCCCTAGTTTGACCAGGCTAGGCTGGAACTCAGAGATCCTTCTGTTATTCAGAGATCCTTCTGATTCTCTTTCCTTGTGCTGGGATTAAGGTGTGCCCAATCACACTCATCTGAAAACAAATTTTTAGAGCTTTTTCTTTTTCTTTTTGTTTTTTGAGACAAGAGTTTCTTTGTATAGCAGCCCTGGCTGTCCTTGAACTCATGTTGTAGACCAGGCTGGCCTTGAACTCACAGAGATCCAGCTGCTTCTGCCTCCTGGGATTAAAGGTGTGAGGGTTAATTTTTTTTAAGCTTATATAGCAGCTTCAAATAATTAAAACCAAGACAAAGACCTGAATTTGGTACTCATCCTAGATATAAAGACCTACACATAATCAGCCTAAAAAATGACAAGAAAACATGGACAGGGTCTGGAGAGATGGCTCAGAGGTTAAAAGCACTGGCTGCTCTTCCAGAGGCCCTGAGTTCAGTTCCCAGCAACCACATGGTGGCTCACAACCATCTGTAACAAGATCTGGTGCCCTCTCCTAGCATGCAGACATACACGCAGACAGAACACTGTACACATAATAAATAAATACATAAATCTTTAAAAAAAAAAAAAAAAGGACAGGATGAAGACAGAGGGTTGGTCCATCCTTCCCAGCACATCAGAATGAAGGGGGGAAGGGATTCCTTAGATTTTAAAGAGTTGATTTAGAATAAAATTTTAAATGTAATAATATTTATAGAATCTCTTATCCTAACTGGCATTATGAATGAAAAACAGAAACAACCCAAGTGGAAACAAACTAGCAAAGTGAGTCTGGTATGGAATAAAATGCTACATTTGGGGTATGGCGGTCCTGAGGCTGATGCACAGAACTGCAAGCAATCAGCATATTTTGTTGTTATAAACTGTCCCCTCCCAACACTGTGTAGTTCAAATACTAGGTCCTTATCAGTATGATCGGGGTTCTATGACAGTTCTATTGAACCCAGAGACTTTTACATTCTAGGCAAGAGCTCTACCACTGAGCTTTCTCCCCAATCCAGCCTGACTCATTTTATATATGCAAATATAAACACAAAGATGTGTAATTTTTACTAAGAATCACCATTTTTAAAAGATTTATTTTTAACTTACATTGGGGTTTTGTCTGTATATGTGAGGATGCCAGATCCCCTGTGAACTGCAATGTGGGTGCTAGGAATTGAACCTGGGTCCTTTGAAAGAGCAGCTAGTGTTCTTAACCACTGAGCTACCTCTCCATCTCACCTTTAAATGTCATTCTAAAATTTTTTTCAAGATCAGATTTCACTATACAGTTTAAATGGCCTCAAACCCACAATCCTGCCTCAATATCCTGTGTATCACCATGACCAGCCTATTTTAAAGTATTTTGTGTACTTCATTATACAGGCATTGAAATCTAACTCTTGTTTACATGTGGTCTATAAAATTAAAACAAACTTCTCCTTTACAGTTAAGAATAATACTTGCAGCCGGGCAGTGGTGGCATGCACCTTTAATCCTAGCACTGGGGAGGTAGAGGCAGGTAGATCTCTGCGAGTTTGAGGCCAGCCTGGTCTACAAAGTGAGTTCCAGTACAGGCTCCAAAGCTACACAGAACCAAAAAAGAATAATGCCTGCAATCCTAGCACTCAGGAAGCTGAAGCAGGAAATCTGACAGAAGTTTGAGGCTAACCTGGGCTACACACACCCACAAAGAATCATCTCTTTTCCCAATAAACCCTCAAGAAGAATCCCCCAAGGTGAAAGAACCTGCAAATGATCAGCTACCAATGAGTAGAGTCAACCAATGATTTTCTCCTTTGATCTTAGCGGCATGTTCAAATCTTTCATAGGCCTTATCCACACAAGCAACAGAATCCACAGAAGTCTGTGACAGTACAGTTACAGCAGCACCACTATCACTTGTTTTCTCTTTACAGGAAACATTTGGGAGCTCAGGCTGTCTGATTCTTGGTCTGCTAAGAACTGCACTTTTTTCTTATGTATTTGTCACATCCAAAACTTACTTCACAATGCACTATCACCAGCAATACTAATCAGGATAGGAGTGTCTTTTTTTTTTTTTTTTGTTTTTTTGTTTTGTTTTTCAAGATAGGGTCTCTCTGTGTAGCTTTGGCGCCTTTCCTGGAACTCATTCTGTAGCCTAGGCTGGCCTAGAACTCAGAGATCTGCCTGGCTCTGCTGGGATTAAAGGCGTTCGCACAACCATTCAGCTTCAGGATAGGAATGTTTCCAAGGTCTCAGTCACCACCTGCACCACCATAATTATAGCATAATAAATACCACAAAGAGAGAACAAGGCAAAGGGCGGACCTAATCTGCAGGGTGATTTTGCTTTTTAGAGTTAGCCAAAATATGCTTTTCCTCATAAATATAGAAAACCTCCAACTGTATTTCCATTCATTGGGATTGCACTCTTCATTTATCAGGTAGGAAGGGGCTTATTAAATGTACATAAATGTATTTAAATGTACTTATTTAAATGTATTTAAATGTGCACATAACTTTGTGTTTTTTTGCTTTTGGGGTCCCCCCCTCCCCCGAAACAGAGTTTCTCTGTGAAACAGTCCTGGCTGTCCTGGATCTCACTCTGAAGACCAAGTTGGCCTCAAACTCACAGAGATCAGCCTGCCTCTGCCTCCTGAGTGCTGGGATTAAAGGCGTGCGCCACCACCCTGTCCACTTAATGTTTTTAACAGCCCATAGCTACCAACTTTCAGTTAACAAATCTTGTTCACTGACATATAGCTATTTAAAAAAATTGGAGACTGTTTCTTCTAATTCTACTTAGCCTATTACAGGTTCTAATTAATTCTTCTAATTCTACAGCCTATTACACTATTCAATGCCAGTCACTCAAATTCAAAATTATTTTGGAAAGATTATTACTCTAAATATAATCTGCTCCAGCTACTCAGTAACCCCAGCTACTCAGGAAGCTAAAACAGCAAGATCATAAATTCAAGGCCAATATGGGATACACAGTAAGTTTAAGGCCAGTTTGAGCAACTTAAAATTTTCTTGTCTCCAGAACAAAGAATGAGGTGTACTTGGAGTCATGTCAGTGATATGGCATGTCACTGTCCTAGCATGTTCAAGATCCTTGGCTTGATTCTCAGCACTGGAAAAATAAAAGTCAAAGACTTCCTGAAGGAGGAAATTTGGGGCTTACCCCTTTCCAGACATTCTTATGTTCCCAGTTTTGCTTTCCTAGGGTTGGTCACTCTTCTAGGATTTCTATGGGGTCATGACAATTCACTTACAACAGTATTATTTATAGATTATTCGGTATTAAATATATTAAGTAGAACTAATCATAGGAAAACGTGGCAAACTTTTATGCTACAAAAGTATACGGCATAAAAAACAGAGTAACAGCCTGGTCTACAGGGCATATTGGCAACCAAGGCACCACAGCAAAACCCTGTCTCAAAACAACAACAAAGAAAAAAACCCAACAAAACATAAAACAAACACCAGAATAAAATCTTTTGTGGAATTACAAAAGATATATGCTTGAATATATGATGAAAATTTGGATCAATAAATCCCTAAATTGATAGTATGTACGAAACAAACACAAAAATTAAACCCAATTTACCTGTCTCCTAGAACACAAAAGTATAGTCATGTTCCAAACACTGCCTTCAGGTTCAGAAAAGATCACATACACAACAATAAATACCACAGAGCACAACCATATAGCAAATTAAATGGTTAAGTACTATATTGCTAACTATATAGCTGGTTAAAACACCTAGATTAGCGGGGTGCAGCATGGAACACCTTTAATCCCAAACACCTTTAGTCCCATCACTAGGGAGGTGGAGTCAGAGGGATCTAAGTTCAAGGCCAGCCTGGTCTACAGAGTAAATTCCAGGACAGAACAGCTACACAGAGAAACCGTCTCAAAAAAGCAAAACTAAAAAAAAAACCCAAAAAACCCACCTAGGTTAGTGTAGATACTTTCTACAGTGTTTTTACAATGGCAAAACACTAACAGTATTATGTATTTTTACCTAATGATGGTTTTTGTCTTGCAGTTTTGTTATACTTATTTGTATGTGTACACCTTGCAGTAGATGGTTTTTTCCTTCCACCATGTGGATGGATCCTGGAGATGGAACCCAGGTCCTCAGGCTTGGCAGCAAATGCCTTTACCTGCTGAGCCATTTTGTCACCCAGTTTTTGTTTTTTTGAGACAGAGTCTAACAATATGACCCTGAACTCTCCATCCTTCTAACCCCAGTCTCCAGAGCACTGAGGTCACCGACTAGCACACCCATCTACAAAACGTTTTGAATCTGTAACTTATGCAAATTATAAAAATTGAACACCTACTTATATTAACAAGTCAAGTATAATTTATTTGAAAAATGTTCCGACTTATTAGACAAAAAAAAATGGCATATTAAAAAAGAGAGAGAGAGAGTTCTGAAGGGAGTCTACAGAACAAATGTTATGTGAAAGTGACCAAAATGGTCTCTTCCCCTAACAATTCAATTTCTCTGAAAACGTTTAGTAATGATGGCTGCACAACAATACTTGTAACTAGCCATCAAAGGATTATCTGGCACAAAATGAACACAGACTAATGATATTATTCACCGTGAGACTTTTGATTAAGAGTCCTTCGTTGCAACAACAAAGATAGCTGATGAAAGGAACTAATGAATTCTGGAGTCCATTAGACCTGCTAGAAAGGCCAGGCTAATAAAAAGCATAGTCGCTAAACTAGAGGACAATTGTCTGTCTGTCTGCCTCTGTCTCCCTCCCCCTCCTCCCTCCTAAAGATCACCAACCCACAACAATAAAAATTACAGTCACCGACAAACCGCTGCCCTAATCCCCATTGTTCACCGCTTCCCTCAAAGGCATACCTATGTATTTTCCCAAGTTTTTTTTTTTTTTTTTAATTCAAAGCCATCGTTTTTTCCATCATTCTCCAAAAGACTACATCGGACAAATAATCCCAATTCGAACTAATGATAGCCACTCAAATCATATGGTTAGACAGCCACCGAATAAGACACAAGAGACCTTTCCATTCAAAGACAATATTCACAAACTCAACACACACACAAAGCTAACAATATTTACCAACACGAGTGTAACCACATTAACGAATCCACTTTTTCATTCCTAACGTGGAATCTTTAGTTCCTGAAAATGTTTAATTTCTCTTAAATCCCCTTCCATCAAGGAAAATAAACCACCCGGCCACGAGCCCATCTCAGCAGCCCTGGTGCCCGGTACAGCTGGGTTGAGGAAGGATGAGGATGAGCCGAGAAGGGGTCACACAATCTCTCCGCTTCAGACCGGGGGGCGTGTCCCCCAAGGTTTTTCGCTTCCCTTCTACCGGAACGACAGATGGAGTGCCACAAGAAGCTAGCCGCACGGCTCGCGGGGCCTCGGGATTTGGTGTGGGGAACAGAAAGGAAAAGGAGGAAAAAAGCTGAGGTTTCGAAAGGTGCAGAGGAAAACCGGCTCGCCGCGGTGTGGAAGGGGCAGCCTCGGCCACCTAGGTGGGCCGAGCCGCGCAGCTCCCGCCCCGTCTAGCCGCCCGGCCCCCGCCACCCCACCCCCGGGGCGAGCGAAGTGCAGAGCAGCGGCCGGTCCGGAGGCACCCGAGCTGCGGGGCGGCCGGGAGGGAGGGACCCTCTGTACCCGTTGTTCTCCGCACAGCAGCAGCTCCGGGTAGCTGAACTCCACGCAGCTTTCGTCCGTGGGGTCCTTGAGCACCAGCTCCAGGCGAACCGTCTCCTTCGGCGGTCGCGGCGGCGGCTCCGCCCG